CGTTTCACAGCTGCTCCTCCGAAGTCTCTACCCTGGGATCCCCACCGGTAGGAGCGTCGCAGTCGCTCGTACGGTTCCGCTCCCGTCAAGGTCGATTCAAAGACGAGGTTCTCCGCCCGCCTCGTCGCCGGGTCGTCTGCGCGTATGACGTCATCGTAGAGTAGGTCCGGGACTGCTGGTCTTTGTTGCCTGGCGAGAGATGCGGTGCCGTGTAGACTCGCCGAATGAGCTGCAAATAACGAGGGGTCGGACCGTGAGAACACAAGAGCAGCACTGCTGCGAAGAGCAAAACTTACCGAGAACCTATAAGAGCATAGAGATCCCATCAAGAGCTAATAATACCTAATAATATTACCAAGAGTAAGATAATATAAAATATAAGAATAAGATATATAATATAATATTAGATTATATAAGATTAATATCATATAACATATATTACCAAGAGTAAGATAAATGGGTTATTATTAACTTTTGATATTGCCTATATTATGGTACCTGTATTATTATCTCTTGATCCTATTATACACATTATACACCTACACTGTGTTATACATAGTGAATAATAGAATCTCTGTATGTATATGAGTAGATGGCACGTGAGTTGATACGTGAGAACATGTGAACAGCACTGTAATTCGCAGCAGTGACAGCCCGACCAGGCGCTATACGACTATTCAACGGCAGGTAGTGAGAAGCAAGAAGGTAACTTGTAGCTACAGTGACACGTAAGATATCGTAAGAGAAGCGTTAGGGGAAACAACTCACATAAGACTAGTAGTGTGTGTGTGTGCGTGCGTGCGCGCGCGTGCGTCTCTTTCTCTCTCTCTCTCTATCGCCTTTCTCTCTCCACTTTCTGAGCGTGCGTGCGCGTTTGTAATTTGCGCTCGGGCTCCGACCTCTCATTTCGAGCCAACGTGATATGTGATTTCAGGAAGGATGGAGACACAGGCAGCGCAAACACGCTACGAGATGAGCTTAATTCATCAACACGCCAAACACGGTGGCGGTTCGATTCTATCAAGAGCTTATAAATCACGAGCTAATAAATACGGGTATTTATTATCTCTTGATTCTATTTCTAACGAGGGAAGCAGCAACAGCCACACAGTAATTAATACAGTAATTAATACAGTAATTAATACAGTAGTTAATACAGTAATTGACATTATTATCGTCGTCGTCGTGTCGCCGCCATCATCAACATGATCATCATCATCTTTATCATCGTCATCATCATCATCATCATCATCTTTATCATCGTCATCGTCATCAATATCGTCGCCATCTGCATCATCATCGTCGTCGTCGTCGTCGCCATCATTATCGTCGTCGTCGTCATCGTCGTCATGATCGGTCAAGCAAGGCGCCGCAGTAATACCAACAGGAACAAGGCGCGTCGGTGTCCGCGAGTTATTCTCCATTGTACAAATAGTCTAAGCAAACATAATATTCTCTACACGTCTCCTCCGCTCACAAATACCGGAGCGCGGAATTCTCACCTGTGTGGTCGATGCCTACGTGCGTACCTGCACGAGTACTGCGTGCGTGCGTGCGTGTGTGTGTGCGTGCGTGCGTGCGTGCGTGCGTCCATGGATCAGTGAGTTGGTGTATATGTATGCGCGTATGCGGCTGCGTGCATGCATACGTGCGTGGGAGAAAGTGTTCGTTCGTGCGTGCGTGCGTGCGTGGGTAATAATGTACCTGCATGTGTGCGTGTGCGTGCATACACGTGCGTGCGCGCATGTACCTGCGTTTATACATACATGCGTGCGTGTATGTACCTGCGTGTATGTGCGCGTACGTGTGCTGGTGTCAATACCCTATGATTAATGACAAATTTGTCAATTACTATTTTATTTCCATGATCATTATTGTCATTTATTTTAACACATATTTGTCATTATTCACACCTGCCTATGTAGAGACACTTACGGCCCGTGTGTTCAGTCGTGTCTGTGCGTGCGGCAGCACTGCATGTATGGGTTAAACTAACAGCATCACTGCCGGGTAGGGGGGGGGAGATGGCCCGAGACATATTGCACGTCATCAATAACATCTGTTATCTTCGTGGCAGACGCTAACCAAGTTTGTTGCCTCTCTTGTTGCCGATAGCTTCGCGCGTAATTTGTAGCGTTTCCGCTTCCGGCGAAACACGCTAGCGTCGCTAGAGTCGACGCGACGTGAAATTTCCGACACTTGGTAAAACGCTTCCGGCGAATGAACGAGCGGCGCCTAGCGCCGGTTCAAACGCAGGTCGCGTCAGCGTGTTACGTGACCCTTCATCGCCGGGGTGGGGGCTGCTGCCGTGGCGGCCACTCCCAGGAAAAACAAGTGGGCATCTATGCCCTTCCCTATTATAGACGTAATTCTACGCACGGATATTTTTATATAAATTCCTAGCCTTTTTTCAAGATACAAAGGCGGGATTTGGTACGATCTTTTACCCTCGATGAGCAAGATACAAGATTTTTTTCGTCAAAATTATTTTTCATAAAAACGTATTTGTAATTTAGGTAGACATGAGTGGGCCAACTGTACGAATATTTAGTACGTTCATAGCCATTCAAATTAAGAAAGGCACGTTTTTCCTAAAAATATTCTTGTCGAAAAACTCCGTTTATCATACTAGTCGATAATCAATATAGATTTTGATACAAGTTCTCAACAAAATAACTAATGTTACAGTATGTGTTTTTTTTCGAAAAATTACTATAAAATTTGGAATAATTGGAATAATTTTAATGTATACTCTTACTACTTATTTTTGAAAAAATTACATGAAATTATTTTGTCATATTCGTCATTAAGTAAGAAACATTTCTACATATAACAAGTTCATTCAGCTCGAATAATCGTTGCGATATCCTTATTTAATATATTAGCAAAAGGTAAATTTTAATTTCAGGATCTACGAAACTATACAGCTACGCGGCTTATACCGAGGCAACCCAGATGCTGGTGCTGAAGCCATTCACACTACACAGACACAGCAGTTATCAGGGCCCTTGTAGAGCCTGTCGAGCATGTATAGGACTGGAGAAGGAAGATGAGGGAGAAGTAGATGAGTCGGAGGCGGTAGAGGAAAGAAAGGTTGTCGAGACGTTAAAAAATAAAGCGGGAAAAAGTATAGGAAATGAAGTAATTGGAGAAGGCAGCGAGGTAGACAGCGTTGAGGCGGAAAAGGGAAAAGGAGGGGGAGCCTGCCATACAGAACTAGGAGTAAAGTAGCAGGGAGTGAATAAGAATGTAGAGAGGGAATGGTTGATGAGGAAAAGGCTGGAGAAGATGGATGATAGAGATAGAGATAGATATAGATAGAGATAGAGATAGATATAGATATAGATAGATATAGATATAGATAGATATAGATAGCGATAGATGGTGGAGTAGAGATGGGGCAGGGTAGAATAGAGAATGGGTAGAAGATCGATAAAGTAGAGAAGGGAGAAACGTGTTCAATAACGCTAGATAGCACACATTTTACGCGTGGTATAAATAGACTATAATTCCTAAAGGTTGTGATACCAATGTCTTGCTAGTGAGCAGACATCGTCATAGAAGTAAATGTCCACATACGCACACACATACGCACACACACACACACACACACACACACACACACACACACACACACCACACACACAACACACACACCACACACATACACACACACACACACACACCACCACACACACCACACACACGCACATACACACACACACACACACACACCACACACACCACACACCACACACGCCACACAACACGACACCACGCACGCACCACACACCCACACCACACCACGCACGCACGCACGCACGACGCAACACACACACCGTGATATATATATATATATATATATATATATATAGATTATGCATATGGTGGGCATGCACAGGGAATGCGAGATGCGGGTGCGAGTGTACATGTAAGCGTATGTATACGGGTGGTGGGGGTGCAACGGTAACATAATTGCATACGTATATATGTATCAATAGCTAAGAATACCTAGAGTGAAGCCTACTGAAAAATCGGGAAAATAGTGCTATTTCACGACATGATTATTCTACTTTGCCTGCAAGTCTAGAATAATTTTATGGTATTGCATTAAGCAGAATTCTTTGCTCTCTAAAACAAGACCAACCGCTTATCAATACGAAACTCCTAGGCTGAGATATTGGCTCGTAAACGTTCCCTTTCACAGGCCTCACGGCGCCTCGAATCCACATCAGTCAGGCCGATAGCCAAAATGCTTAGGGGCGAGAAGGATGCTGACTGATGTGGATTCGAGGCGCCGTGAGGCCTGTGGGAGGGGAAGTTTACGAGCCAATATCTCAGCCTAGGAGTATCGTATTAACAAGCGGTTGGTCTTGTTTTAGAGAGAAAAAAACTCTGCTTAATGCAATATCACAAAATTATTCTAGACTTGCAGGCAAAGTAGAATAATTATGTCGTGAAATAGCACTATTTTCCCGTTTTTCCGTTGTACACTCTAGGTATTATTAGCTCTTGATATGTATGCATATATAGTTTCAGGTGCGAACGGTTTGACAGGTAATCGCGGTGGTTGCTATCTTACCTGCGTGGATGAGTAGGATGAGTAGAGCACCTGTGCCGATCATGAGATTCATCAAAGACTGCCGCATTGTTGCTGTCCGTATCTATTGTCTGTTCCGCACCAATTGTTCGTCTGCCCGTGGCTAGTTACTCTCCTTTCTCCTTCTTCTTCTTCCTCTTCCTCTTCTTCTTCTTCTTCTTCTCCTTCTTCTTCACAGCAGTGTACGACACAGCGTGCGCACGCGGGGTTTTTGTTATTCGTCTCTGACCGACAACAGTCAAGCGGACAATAAAAGGTTCTGTGTTGCGCTAACCTTCTGATGAGTGGCTGTGTTGGGGCGATAGGCGCACGATGACTACTGGCTTCACGTGTGTGGCTGGTGGGTCTCGTCTGGCTGCTCGGCCTAGGCTAGTCTGCTCTGTTTTATATGTGTGCTGCGCATGCGCACGTTGATGATCTCGGAGGAGGCGAAGAACGATTGGTGTCCTTCCGCGGCGGAGGAGCGCGAGAGAAGTCGCACGTGCACCCGTCAAGCACACGCACGACTGCACGCACGCACGCGGACCTCCCACACACACGCACACACGCACGTACACACGCACATCACCCACACACGCACGCACACACGCACACGCGTTGGGTCGAAGAAACCAAATTAGTCTTACGTTAGTCATTACATTAACCGCCCCCCCTTCCCCACTCGTAAACCGCGTTGACAGAAAACATCGCAAAGTTTTCTAATAAGCTCGAGCTTGAGAATGCTGTACTCTGTCAAACGCCCCTCCGTAACAATTAACATTTAGTCGTAAGTGTTTATCTTAGCATGTAACATTAGCATTAACTTTAAACGATGTTCTGTACCACCCACGGCCCCCATGCATTGATACAAAATTCTTCAGCTGTAATCTGGCGGCGGATATACGTGACAGTGCGACGGCGGGTTATTAACAGACATAAAAAGGCGCGTGAGAACAAGTATAAGATGTCACCGATGTGTAAACAAGTAATAGACGCTTCCGAGCATTTTTCTCTCAGAGATCCTTAAGAAAGTAATCAATAAAGGCTCAGAACAGCAGGAAATGCAACGCATATGCTCACCTACGCTCATTATGCTGCGTCTCGCTCCCTCATCGCCACACAAACAAACCCACCCACCACACAACACACGCACGCACGCACCCGCACGCACGCACGGACCACACACATGCACACACACACACACTACCATGGTGGCACACGACGCACATACGGCCCCGGCTGCGCAAT